TCTGCAACAATTTTCTCCTCAGATAGGAGCTTCTCAGCTCTCTGAGCTGAGGCAAGTTTGAGGGTGTAATTGTCCTCATACCCCAAAGACCCACATACCCGAAAATGACTTTGTCTTCAGGTTCACTTTCCAGCTCATTGTATTGATCAATGGACTCATGAGGGTCCTCAATGAAGTGATCCTCCTCTTCATTGTCTTGGATGGCTGGAGCATCTGGGGAATCACTGTGAGGTCTTAGTGGGTTTGCTCAGCACACAAGGCCATAAGTGATACGATGGTGTGTATATTACGGTGTGTGTAAGCAGTTGACCCGGAAGTTACCGCTTACCCACGTGACTATATGTACCTTGTAATTACATATGGCTTGGGGTTCAGGGCTATTGCCCTGACATTCTCCCCCCTTGCATTGCAATTTGCAATGCATACATGGTTAATGATGAAGAGAATAAAAGGAAAAAAAGGAAGTTACATTGAGTTTGAAAATATCAATGAGTGTTTTATTATCGCCACTTTAAAGTGGATGATTTGTACATGTCAGCAAGAGAAATTGAGAGAATGAATGGGTGTGGGGCCATCACTTTGAAGTGAATGGCGATACATGGGTATCGTGAAGGGGAAAAATGATTAAGAGAAGAAGTTTTTTCAAAAATAAATTTCGACCCAAGGATTATATGTCCTTGGTATTCCTCCTCACTTGTTCTGTGAGGATTCATGTGTAAATGGTGTTTACACATGAGCAGTGGTGGATGTGGGTTGGATGGGGTAGAAATGTTATGGAAATGGGAAATTCCCATTTTTAGCCTCTTATGGCCTCTGTACAGTATATTATCACGTGACATGTATATAATAAGAACTTAACTATCAACAATCACCAAAATCCACACTTTGTTAATGTCATTGTAAAGACAACTGTTAAACCTCTGTTACATTAACTGTAACACTATTTCGATGTCACGGCCACTCCCTGCACCCGGACGCTATAGAAATGGGCCAATTATGCCCCATTTTTATAACAAGAAATTTCCGCAATTCTTACTTGCGGTTCCTCACATACAATATTGTGTGTGGGGCCTCGAGTTGGGGGAAGGTGTTTTCATGGCCACCTCAATGGCGTATTACCATGACACTTTCCCTTTCCTCAAGGGTAGAGTTATTGCCCTGGAGGAGGGTTTTCCTCCAGGTTGTTCATCTGGACATCCGATTGCTGTGTCAGATGTGATGACGTAGCCTGAGCTACAGTGTCGAGCTGTGGACTCGATGAGGTGGGCACTTCCTGGGTGGGAGCAGGTTGTTGTATTCCCAAGCCACTTGGCTCGGGTGTAAGTTTACTGTTCTTCCCATGGGGAAGGGTGGTTGCTGGCTCGTTTGTCCAGTGTGGAGACTTATGTCTCTCTCTCTGTACTTGGAAGCTTTTGCTTCCTGCCCCACAGCTTTTGCGGCGTGTTCCTCAGGAGTCCTGAGTGGTTTGAACTGGTACTTTACATAGGCAGCTTTGCCTAGACTCTCCCAGGATATTTTTCCCTTGTTCTCTGGGGAATTGTACTCCTCCACAAGTTTTGCGATACTCAGGAGTCCCAAGAAATATTTCTCGGTTTCCTTCGCTTTTTTGCAAAGGACTCTATGTACCTTGCCACCTTTAAAGGTGGCTTCAGCCTGTTCGTACCAGTGTACAAATTCTTTTCCACTCACACTTGTCCACCAAGCATATGCGGCGTCATGCACCACCTCTGACCCCACTACTCTCCTCATGGGGAAGTTGGGGTCGATTGTTACATTGACAGGAGCTCAACTTTGCCAAACTCATTGAGTTCAGCGGTCTTGTATAACATGTGGACACTTCCCTGCAGGGTAGCGGCCCACCACCTCTGGCAGTGGTCCCCACTTTGGGGTCAGCTGTCGGTTGCCCACTGCTCTCCCTCTTCCCCTCGACATGGGTTTGCCCTTCTGAGGGTGGGCCCTTATGCAACCCGGACAGGGTCGCCTGCCCATGGGGTGGCAGGATAGTCGATGCCCCAGCACCATATCCCCTCCCCCTGACCTGGGAGGCCCCCATCATAATGGGTTTGGCAGCAAGATCTGCCAGTGCATGTTGTAACGGGTCAATCACCTTGACTCAAGACAGAGAAGAGGGGGAGGGTTGTAGTGTGTGTGGGTGTGGTTCGTGGGGCCTGGTTTTGGTCCTGGGGCACTACCGGGTCTGCTAGAACTGTCATATCCATCCACGGTGAAGGAGAGAACGAAGGAAGGTCAGTTGGGAGGTTCAAACGAGACCACCACCAAGCTGTTCCCTGGTTCTTTAGTTAGGATGGGGAAGTGTACTAGTAATATTTGTTGTAATTATAGTACCAATCCGAGTGTTTTGGCTAATTCTATTTTTATGGGTTAGTCTCAAGTTTCTGGGAATTGACTTACAGATAAACCGAGCCCTGCGGAGCTGTTCCTTTATTGAAATTTCTTAATTTGTCTAGGTGTAATTCTGTGTAGCATTGTTTAATTTGGAATTTAACTTGAATTAAATCTTCTACTTGGTGAAGCTTCAAAGATTCTACTCAGTTAATGGATTTAGATTGTGTCTGGAGTGTCCCTTGAGTTTGTTTTAATCCTGTCTTATTTTATATCTTGTTTTAACAGTAGCAAAATAACTGTTTTGTGTTTACACTTTGAAATTTGGAGTGTTAACCAGCTCTCCTGTTGAAATATCTACTTAATATTTCTCTCCTTAATTGCTGCCTTTTACTACAGTGGCAATCTTAACTGTATATCACTTTTTCGCACTGGAGTGACAACCAGAAATGCTTGAGAAAAATAATACTCTATTTTCTTACTTCTCTGAGGGGGGCGAAAAGTCACAGAAAGGGTCTCCCTTTTATACTCCTTGGGTTGTCTTCCTTTTTCACACTCTACCTCGTATTTACAGGATTTATTTACAGTGTATTTTTCTCAAACTGAATAAAAAAATGAAATTTTCATGCTATAGTTCTACTGCACTGAACTGCGGTTCTACTGCGGTCAGACTGCACCTAGAATTCTTATCGTCCTTCCTCGCCTAAGCTATTTTAATGGTTAATTAGAACTTGACTGTGCTGCATTTGTCGCAGTTTCCTATTTCAAATTCCTCATATTTACCATTAAATTCGCTATGACTTGGTGATGCTAAATTCAAACTTCGCATTACTATGCGTATGGCTGTGCTGAGACCTTCAGCTGATTTATTCCATTTTTATCCAGCGACATTTAGTTAAAATGAGACTTGAAATGGTAAATGAGTGAATTTTTCAGGTTTAGAACCAAAAGAAAAAGTTGCTAGTAGTCAAGAATTACTCAAACGAATGTATTATAGCTCTCCACTTCATTAGAATATCGTTCCCTAAAATTCCTGCCATGGTCCGTTGTAGTTTAGTGGTTTTCATGGATTTCGTTCATCTCCCCTGATTCCCCTTTGTATTATCACATCCTAATCCTCCATATGTATTGTTCGTTGTTATAGTAGGTCATCCTCGAAGATATCATATTTTTATGTATTTTATTTAGGGCTCTGGACCTCTTTAAGCTGTCTTCCCACGCGTTTTCAGGTTTCTAACTTCATGTCCTTGTATCTCATTCATTTCTGGATGGTTCTTCACGTTCTTGGTATCATAAATTTTCATTTATTCCCACCTTTCCAATGGTACCAAAGTTGTGTTCTATTTCCTGGTATTCGTCGAGTTAGCAAAAGTTCGCATGCACATTCAGTAATCATGTGCATCGTTCCCGTAGTCGTTCGTATGCAGGCGCCATTTCTGTTTAATTGTTTGGGATTTATGGTATGTGCAGGTGTTTGTATCCTTCATATGGGCTTCCGTGATTTATTTCAGATTTTTCCCTCATGATCTAAGGTTGTTTTGCACTTTCCATGCTTTGTTTTGACCGGGCTCTTCCTTATTTGGACAGAAATTGGTCTTCGCGATCTGCCGAAGTGCGGATCTCGGTTCCGACGGCCGGTTCCCTTTGCATTGCCACCCTCACGTGTCATTAAACATGATGCAGATTTCTATACAGTCATTCACCCCTCAATGAGAGACACCCCCCAATGATAAATCACCACATAACTTCCGAGCCCCCCCATCCTTTGTGATGAGATTTGGCATGTATATAAGGCGTTGCTAGGACTACTTATGTACCGAGTTTGATGTCAAGCGGGCAAGAAGTAAAGGAAAAAATCGAGGAAACGTAGGGAACTTGGGTGTGAGGAGTCACCATGCTTGCAACTTAACCACTCCAGTTTCATTGCTCTCTTCATCTTACCAATAGCTAGCCAGACAGCTAGTGAGCAAAAGGCCAGTGTTACACGTGCCAGTATTTGTTTGTTTTGATGAGACACAGAACCTAAGTCAGAAGCATGTTTTCATCCATTACCCAAACAATCTGTAAATTAAATCACCATTCCCACATCCCCCGACCCCAATATTGCTTTGCTTGCTGCTTTTGACAAATGGTCCGGCATGCCAACTCTTTGGAGTGCCATAGGCAGCTTGCAGCTGAGGCAGCAGAGCTGCACATGCAGAACACCATCATTTCATATAGATCTCAGGTCCTGGATGCAACACAAAATCACAAAAAAGCTCCCAGCACCAGGGAATATGCTTCTCATTGTGATGTTTCCTATTCTACATTCATGCGGAGGCTGAGTGGTGGGAAAAGTCGGCTTGAGGCCTCAATAAACCGGTCATGGCTGAATCAGATTGAGAGTGACACCCTGGTGGAATTCCTTCTCCTTATGTCTGACCATGGATTCCCTGCTACCCATGATCATGTGAAGGAATATGCCTTAGAAGTTGCCCAGATACGCCACCCAAACCTTACTGGGCTTGGTAAAAATTGGGTTGATGGCTTTCCAGTATGCAACAAAAACCGACTTGATGCCAAGTGGAGTACCAACCTTGAAAGTATTTGGGGTGGTGCTGTAAATCCTTTCCTACTCTCGGGCAAAGAAGTGCACTGTTGATGACCTGGAACATATCATGTCATTCTCCTCATCCTCAAATTCTATCATATCTTCCTCACCTCTTTGTTCAACCTTTAAACTACCCGAACGTGCATATGGGCACCTCAGCGATCTTCCTCCTATCAATTGGGATCTGATACATGATCACAACTCAGAGCACAAGACTCACCCTGAATTGATGAAGGAGATTGACGAAATGCAACACGAGTTTTGGAAGGCAAAGACACTGGTAGAAAGAGCCGTTAATGTGGTGGATGCAGCAAATGCCCAGTTGGCATTGGGAGGAATGTATGTGTCTAAATCACAGACACAACTTCTAGTGCGGGAGGAATTGGAAAAGTCAAAAGAGAAAGAGGAAGGTGGACGTATCAAGGGAACGTTCAGCCGCATTGTGACACATGAAGGTTTTTTGAGGGATCAAGCTGAGCGCACTCAATGGAGGCTGGATGAGGCTGAGCTGGAGAAGCTGAAGGAGGAGGCCAAGGAGGGATGGAGAACGTTCAATAGCAGAGGTGGCGAAATGGTGAGAGGAAAAAGCACGCTTAGTTGCGATCAAACAAAGAGTGCCAGCAAAGCCATCGGAAATCCGAATGAGGGGTTGGATGGCTCAGAATTATCCACAGCTCCAGCAGAACAAGCCCCCTGCAATGCTGGAGGTGCCAGGGTGTGCTGAACAAGTGGCTGATGGGGTCAGCGGGGGTCCAACATGAGTGTGCGAATGCACTGTCACACTCTGTCACAGGATACCACTGAGGGGTGAAAGCGCCCATTTCATACTCACTCCCGTACTCACTTCATGACAGGACTCCACTCAAAATATTGCCGGCCACTGATTCATATTTACGTTCTTCATGTTATTCAAATTTATCAATTTTTTCATGGAACTTCATTACACTGAGGCCTGGATTAGTGAAATCCGCACCATTGGGGGGTGAATGACTGTATTCCCGTCATTGGTATTACTTCACAATGGCTGGACCATTTGGGCTGAAAATTTGCATAACTATTTTTCATATTGATGTCACTATTCCCATTATTGGATATCTCATTAATGCGTGATCCTTTTATTATGAAAATTTGGGTGGATTAAGATTAGATCCCTTCCTTTCTAATGGGCTATCAAGCTCGTCTCGGTCGTTACTGGTTGTTCTTCGCGCTTGCTTTTTAAACATTGTCCTCGTTTTCCGGGAGTTTTAGTCATATCTCCGTCATTTATGGGTAGTTTTCCCTGTAATTACTTTTATTGGGTCCGTTTGGGGGACATCGACATTTCCTATTATAAACACGACTTTGAATTTTGCATTAGTTCCTAAGGAATCCTTGTTCCATGGTACTTCCATCCTCAGCTACATGTGCAGACATGGGAAAGTAGTTTCCGTGGAGGTTCTCTGGTTGTTTTTATAGTCAAATCTTGGTCGATTGTCCTAATTCTTGGTTTAATATTTGCTATAAATTCCCCCGAGAATTCCGTCTTGTTGATGCTAAGCTTGAAGTATTTTTGCTAATTTTCTTTCTTCCATTTTATCGTATGTAGTCGTAATAATTCGTAAAATTTCATTAAAATTCAGATTCTTCTTTTTTCTCATATCTACTTGTCGTATGGGGTTTTGTGATTTATCTGGCATATTTCCATAATGGGTTTCCATAGTGTGACCGTTATTTCTCCTACAATGACCATCTTCCTTCACTACCTCTGGTCCTTCTGGACTACCTCCGCTCCTTCTTCGCTAACCTTGGAGCTCCCATATTCCACAATCACCTCCGCTTCCCTCGATGGTCACCACCCCCTCTTTTCAATACATTACCTACGCCTCCCTAAGTACGGAGCCCCGAAGGCTTCTGGACAGCTCAGACGTCCGCTAGCGCACTCCCACCTCCGCTGGGCAATTCACTTGCTTGCCCTGCAAGCCCACCTTCAGGCCTATCCCTCCTTTCCGTTTCTGGGTTATTGCCTACCATTCTGCTAACCCCATAACCCAACTTGTTGGTAATATTCAATCGGCTAATGTTTAACTCTGTTAGCTCTGCTCCGCTCAGCCCTGCTATTTATGGGCCTACCCTTGCTGTAACTATATATACTCAACTTGTACATAGGTTACACCTCAGTAATAAAATCGACTAGAGTTGACCCCCTTTTAGTTCTCATTGCCAGTAAGTAAATTAGGGCACGATGTGTAACTTGGCACAGCGCTCCTGGCATAAGTCACTGAGGCCGAAGCCCTCTGCCATGGAGACACTCCTTCGTCTCGATCCAGTCTCTGACAAGAACCTCAACTAAACACTCACCTATGTCTCTCTTGGACATCAAGGCTGAGAGTTATGAGCAGAGGGATCTTAGACGTAAGCAACAAGCTCAAGGGGGCATTAGGGTCGTGGATGGTGTCTTTGCCACTTGGATGTAACTCTTTCTTTGTCCTTCATGGGTCTATTCAGTACTAACTTGTTATGTACAAGCTATTATCTATTTTATATGAGTTGGAAATGGAATGGATGGAATGGGGGAATGTAAACGGGCCGTTAGGCAACCGTAAATGATGAATATCCAATTGGGAACAAAGAAACAATAAAAGAAATATGAATGAATGGGGAATATATGATAACGGGTCCGAAATGGGAATTGTGAAGGTTAACCCCGTAACACTTCGCCACAGCGCCCGCCTATCCTCCCGTCAGCAACCTCCTCGTCTCCAGCTTTCCAACGAACCCTCATTCATCCCAATTGGTGCAGTAGTTCTTGAGATGTGGCCATTGACAGGTGCTGTCAAGACCATGTGAGGCTATACACTGTGCTGAACCATCCGAATATGGGGTTGCCATTCTGGGAAGTGCTCCATGGGTAAAGGAGGAAGGTATAGCATCACCAATGGGTAGAAAAATGGCTGGGTTGTATGTGTGGTTATGGAGATCTGGAGAGGGGGTGAAATTGGCAGTGGGCATGGGAATTTGGCTTCAGGCTGTCGGGAATGATGGGGAAAATAGGAAAAATAAGGAATGAGTGTATGGTGTATTGGATAGTGATAGAATGAGCATCGGGAGTGTCAGCAGATATGTAGTGCATGTTGGTGGGCAAATTCTGCAGAATCCAACTTTTTGCGGTACACAGAGTTGTCCCCACCACAGCGTGCCTCTTTGAGCTCGCATTCTAATAATTCAATCTCCCTCTTTTGGAGATCGACTTCTCTCTCTGTATCTCTCAGAGAGGCAAAGATGCCTTTGGCATCTCTGCGTGCTCTATTGTATTCGCACCTCCAGTGGGTGCAATTATCACAGGCATCATCTGACACCCTCAAGTTGTCAGACCATGTCTGTTTGGACAGCCTGGACAAGGAGCCACTGTCGCTCCCTTGTCTCCCTCCTATGAGGGACTTCATCTCTTTCAACTCCTGGCAGAGTTGACCCATCTGGGCAGCTACCGCTGATGCAATAGCTGATTCCCAGCCTATATTTGGCTGGGGTGTTGTCGGACCTGGGCCAAATTGGCCGATCCAGGCAGTGGTTTGGCCAGGGAAGTTCCCTGGGCAGTATGCCTGGGGCTGCAGCAGCAAATGCTGCCCCTGGAATGGCACTTGTTGTGCCATCGGTGCAGTTTGCACCATGTATGGTTGGAAGCCCCTTTGTGGAGGCTGGGGATATGCGGTGCCTGTTGGCATTGCGGATGGTTGTTGTTTGTGGCACTCATTTGTGCCACATGCATTGTATAGTCCATGGCGCTTATCTGTGCCTGTTGTTGTTGTTGTTCTGAGGAGCCTTGCTCCCTGGGTTGTTGTATCTCAATGTCCGGCGGCTTGTTCAGATTGAATCGAGGGTTGCCTCCCCCAGAGAACAACATTTTGTCGTTTTGTTTCTCATGGTGGTGGGAGGGGTTTTGGTTCTTGCATGCATGGGATTTGCTGCAATCATGTATGGTTTTACACATGAGCCTGCGGTTCATGTGGTCTAGGCGAGTTAGTCGCCTAGCCCATGTGATCTCTAGCACATGGTGTGGCTGTCCAGGCAAGTTGCTCACCCAGAACCTTCCCTTGCTCTTGGTTGTGGGCAATTGCCCTTCAGCTTCACTTTTTCTACCTCCATTTTTGGGGGTGTAGTGATGCCGAGAGTTCCCTATCTTCTTTGATAGGGAGATTTTCTGGTTCCCTCACATTTTGTAGTGTGAGGTACTTGTCCAGGTGGACAAGGTCGTTTCAATTTCCTAGGGGTTCCCATGTGGTGTCCCCTAGCTCCCATTTGACAGTTCATTATGAACCCATGTTTGGTTTAAGATTTCGCGAACTACTGCTTTGCGATTGGGGTCTTCCCCAAAATCGTAAAATATGCCTACCTCCCCATTTGGGAAGATTTCTTGGTCGTTTGGCTTGTGAGGTGTGAGCTGAGATATGTGGAATCTTGGGTGGACTCCACATTGTTCAAGTTGTGATGGCAACTTGAGGACATAGTTTGACATCTCTGGAAATGTTTCCAGAATTTCATAAGGCCCTATATACATTTGCCTGCCCTTCCTTTGGGTAGGTTCAACTTATCTGTGGATAAGTATGCAAGCTTGCCTTTTCTCAAAGGTGGGTCTGGGCATCTTTTCTTATTAGCCTGGATTGTTTGGGCAGTGCAATTGTGTATTATCGCATCATGTGCTGCCATGAGGTTTTCCTTCACCTTTTGGGCAAAGTCATTCACTCCTGGGTTGTCCGAGGGTGGTGCTGTTAGGCACATCTTTGGCATGTGGTCATAGATTAATTTGAACAGGGCAAATCCTGTCGATGTGTTTGAGCTCACATTGATCTAGTCTGATCATCATGTGTAGTATCTGTACTACATTCTTTGCGCTTGGCCATCACCTTGCAGATGGAATGCAGTTGTGAATTTCAACTGCACACTGAGTATTCAGTGTAGTTTGCACCAAAATTTTGAGATCTGATATGATTGAGTGTGTGTCATATCCATACATACCCGACCCTGATCCAACTCCCAGACCCCATCTTCATCACCTCCGGAGTTCTACCCTACCTCCGTCCATTCCGATACTCACCTTCAGACCAAACATCACCCCTCTTGCCACCCTCCTCCTCTTACTCCTCTTACTCCTCACGACACCTCCACCCTTCCGTCACTCTCCTACCCTACTCCTGTCTGCTCCGATACTCACCTTTGGACCTGACACCATTCCTCCTCCACTCCTCTCCCCACTCCTCTCATCACTCTCCTTCCTTTGACCCTCTTCTGCCAAACCTCTGGCAAGTTACGACCTTCCGCTGCTGTTCCATACCCTGTACTTGGACACTGCTCATACCTTCGCTCTGAGATCCCATCATAGTTCCAACCTCGGACTTTGACTCCACCTCAGCTTCAGGCCATTGCATTGGTGACCTCATACTACATAAACACCATTGCCAACATTCCTCAGACTTTCAACCCCACCTCCATAACCTCCATAAGCTCCGCAACCTCCAAGCTCCACAGATCATACTTGGTACTTTTGCCACTTGTAATGTATCTTTCACACTTTCCCCTCATCCTTATTTGGACTGCTGCTTCTCTCCATTCTAGCCAGTTAGTCATCATCCCCACTTCACCTCATCTTCCTGCCCCTCTGGGCTTTGCCCTCCCTATCTCCTTTCAGATGTACCACAGGTTCTAACCTATGACCTTTCGGTACTGCTCTGCGTCTGTCATCCTTTGTTC